CAAATAGATCCAATATCTTTGCTCTATCTTCGATATCCTCAACTTCAACAGGATGTAACTCACATTTTGCATATAAAGCCACTCCTCCTCCTCTCTATCCCTAATAAATAGCCTGTAACCCTGTATTTCAAAGAAATTTCTGTCACCAAAATCATCTACGTTTAACCATGTTTCAGTTATTCCCATTATATCAACATCCTCCATTTCTACCAGTGCTCTAAAGTCAGTCATCTATTTTATTTTCGATGACAAGGAACCCACTTTGAGACTAATAATGGCTGAAGATGGCTTGAATGGGTAATGAAGAAAAACTTTAATATAACAGCAAATGTACAACGTTTCAACATGGTTTTGTCATCATCAGGTGACATATGGGTAATATATTTTCTGAAAAGGCATAATCAACTTGCAAATATAAAAGTTATACATATGTATGGAGTTTTTGCCCCCCCCCACCTCCTATGCCTATGGGCTGTACACCAATTCATATTGTAGCATATCAGTGATAGTACATCCATAACTGAAATGTGTAAAATAAAAAGTGACACCTTTCAAAACATTATTTGTATCTTATGCATATATGCTAGTTATCTGAAGTAATGAAACTGAACACAAAATAAAAACTAATAGGCACATTCTAATGAGATGTTGTACCAAAACAGTTAAATGAAGAACAAGCTTCAGACTGGAGAGACTGTTTGATAACAAAGTTCCAGATTAGACTGACTGACTGATGACAAAATTCCAGTCTGACTAAATCCAAGGTTCCTTATTATACAAGAAATCTTGCATTTGCCCAGAGAAACATGCACTAACAAAATGATTGGTCATTCGCATTACAATGTATAAGGGTCCATAGACTCTAAACATCACCTACACAGCCATCAGAGACAAGACACTGCTGCTTTACATGACAAGTCATATTAAGTAATGTTTCCGTGATTAGAAACACATCTAGTTCAGAGATCAACAAAGGTAACAAGATCAACTTAATGGTTTTATGTGAAACCTGTAAACATTCTGAACAAAGAATGAATTCAGAATAACATTATAACACCACAAGAAGACTGAAACACATCATACAACACAACAGTAATAACGTTTCACAATGAACCAACACTGATCTGTGCATTACTATAGATTTGTATCTTCCGTTAGTTTAGCCTAAAAGCTTTATTACTTATCCACATAAAAATATGTTATTTTCCAAATATTGTATTAAAATAAAATAATTTGAAATGTGCTGCTAAAATGATTACAAAGAAAAAAGGCTAGAGTAGACCACTCTTTACCTGATATTATTTAGAGACTTTTTAGCAATTTTTTGTTTTTATTTTATTGTTACGACAGCGGAAGTCATGCAACGCGGGGAGCATGCGCACTGGAGTTTCTAGAAGGATCGTGACTTAGCGGGCAACCTCAAGAATGTCCCAGCATTTTTAGTATATAAGCCAGACATAGAGTGAAGAGAAATAATTGAGTCAAGCAAGCAGTAGGCTCCATAAGTAAAGTGTGTGAATCGCTGTGAATTATAGGGTGTGCTTATAAAAGTAGTTAAGTTTAAAGTGACTGTGGGAATTAAGTGTATTACAAAGTTTGTAACGAGAAAGAAGAAACCCGTTTTAATTAAGAAAGGACTTGTATCGCTGAAGTTTCTCGGAAAGAATTTTTACGGGAAATTATCAAACAAGCAGATACATAACATTATTATCACTATTTGTTTTCTAGGCTTTGTTAACTTTTAATACCATTGTAACATGATCTATTGTTTATATAATGTCAAATCCGGTACATATAATAATAAGAAATTAATGTACTTCTTCAATAAAGGTTTGCCACAGCTAAATTCATTTATAGGCCTATTTTCACACACATAAACTTTTCAACATAAATTTCAAAATGAATATATTCAAGACTAATTCACTATCAACTTAATTATGGAATTACATGACTAATTAATAGAGTAACTGAATAGTAGAGTAGATGCGATAACTCTCACTTCAAATACAGAATGAATAACATTTTTTCCATTGAACTGAATATTACACTGCTTACTCAAACTTTACTTCACTAACCTCTCATTCACTGATAACTCATACTTGCAATGTACCATTAAATATGCATACTCCACAAACTTTCTAGAAGATTGCATCATCATCCTCATTAGCTTCCTACAGTAAATGTCTAAATTAAGAAGTAAAAATCTGGCTTACAACACTGTCACCTTCCTTGATTCTGAAGTCCCTTGAACAGTCCTAACACACAAATATAACAGTACACTAAACCATACATTCAACAAGTATTTTTGGTGGGTTTCTTCTCTGATGGATACGATATGCAGATGGAGGGTGACCTATTGTCCCTTATCGTCATGTGCTGTCTCCTGCTTATGGAAATTGTTTCAACACGGATGCTGGACTCTTCAGCAGGTTGACTTTCCACAAGAAAATTCTACCCTGAAATTACACATGACCAGCATAGTTCCAAAGATGAACATGACAGCTGACCTTTAGTTTGTACTTTTGAATTCTGCAAACTACATCATTGATTCTGTCAGTATGACATATTGTCCTTCCCAAAACGTGCTTTACTTTGTAGTTCATCCTTTCTTGTTGTAGGGATTACACAGCCGTATCATGTCAGCTTAACCGAAACTTGTCTTATCAACATCTTGAAGACTTTTCATTTGATCACAAGTTAATTTAAGTCTTTCCTTGGTAAATTCATATATAATTCAATGATTCTTCAGACCCATGAAAGCTCTTCTAACCATCAATCCTCCAAGCTATGCTGGAGTGTTTGGTTTCACTACGTACCAGTCATTAGGTGAAGATTTATTCCCAATAACCTTTGGTTTGAGTATTTCACTTCTTGATGATACAATTACTATTCTCTCTTTCATCACTGAAAGTTCATCCTCTAGTGTAATAATTTTTATGTAGTGTAGAGGGATTTCCTGTTCATTGATTGTGAAACTATTTGAAGCGAGCCTAACCTTGCATCCATGTCTGCACAAAGTTAGTTCCCAACATGCACTCTTCTTTGATGTCAATCAACTACACAGCACGAGATGTATAGAAGTTTTCTCCAGTAAGGGTGCCTTCCAGCTTCCTCTTGTTGAAATTGATTTCATTTTCTTTCTTCACCTCTGGAAGCAATTTTCCATTTTTTATTATACAACTGAATCATACACTTTTAACCATAGAACAGATGTCAAACAACACACTGCAAGATTTTCCTTTAACAAACCTATGAACTTGGGATGGTCTTCAAATTATAAACTTCTCATTGTATTTAGGGCAGATGGGGGATTTCCAGTTGAGCTTTGTCCAAAAACCAGTTAATTCCTGTTTTCTTGATCTCTTGTTAGATCATTGCTGTTCCATTTTTTTCTTTAATCTTGTTGGGTTCTCTCTCTTTATGGCCAAAGAGCAGCTGTTGATTCTTTGTAGTCTCAGCTGTAATGGCCATGTTTCCCAAAATTATTACACTTCCCTCTTTCTAATGTTCTTTGGGAAAGGTTCTTATTTCATAAGGGATTTTACCTTGAAGAATATGTCCTTTCAAGTTACCCTTGAAATATCTATTGCCTTGTTGTTTATTTCATCCATTTCGTGTTACAGATTGTCTAAGTAATACTTTCAGTTCTTCTAGACTATCATCAGAGGGAGTTGAATTTATAACTCTACTCAATTTTATGATCTTGTAACTTTTAGATGGTGCTTTTAGTTGCTTATTTGCAACATTAATTAACTCAAGTTCCATCATCAACTTGACAGTTTCCTTTAAAGTTGTACACTATGCTTCAATCTAATTCTCATATCCTCATCTGCTATGACATCTATAAATTTTTCATTTGCCAATGAATCCATCATTTCAAATGGAGCATCCATGCAAGATAGTCGGGCACGACTCTAAATATTCCAAAAGTTTGGCTAAGAACTTATCTTTTTTTCACAGCCTACTTTAAAACGTTGCGCTGAATAATTCCTTCTGGTATATAACTCTGAATCAGTTGGATAAAACAGCTACCAATGTTTGACAACTGTTATTGCTTGGCTTGAAGGTTATGCAATGCTGCTAAAGCTAGTACCTTTAAATGAAAAGCATAATGAGTAATGAGTAGCTTTTTGTTCATCATTCCACCCATTCAATCAGGAAATGATTTCAAACTGTGTCTGATATCCCATGGTACTTTCCCATTATAGTTCAATGATTTGTCAATTGGACAATATTTAGAACTGGCAAGCTAAATTCTGGACCTAGATTTGGTAGTAACATGGCTGAATTAGTGTAGAAAGATTTACCACATGGAACAGCAGTAGTGGTAATATGTGTAAACTAAATAATCTTGATAGTTTTAGGTCTAGTCAATATTTTTCTAATGCTCCTGTCAACATGAATCTTAATTTGGACTCAAGTTGTAGAGTTTAATATAGGCCTTACAGTATTTATAGTTTTTAAAAGGTATAGGTCATACACTCAATATAATTCAGTAGTCTCGATCTTCTCCCATCCTATATGATACTGACATGAGATTGAGCAACTTGTTATCTTCCTTATGTAATAATTTGGTTTCATTGACTTTATGATGTGCATTTTCAAATGAAGAGAAAAAATAGAAAGTAGGTGTTCAGTGGTAAACGTATACATTACTGGATTAGTGGAAGTAGGTTCATGTATTATCATTTGTGCTTTACCATGCAATTACTAATGTTCTGAGGTATAACTAACATATATAAATTGAGATAATACAATAAACTTTAAGTTAATGTTTAAATCTAGGAAAAACTAAGAGTCTAATGATACAGTGAGATGCATTTTCTTCAAATACTGAAAGAAACAGTATATAAAATATCTATACTCTACTTTCACATGGATGAAATTATTTTGTTATTTTGTTAAACAGGTGCTTTGTACTGAAATTCCTTTAAATTTTACTGGTAAACTTAAAACTTAAAGATTTGATATTTACATAAGACTTATACATCATGTCTTACCTGTTGTGTTAGTAAGCCACCCCGAAAAGGTGCCTTTCCCATTTCATCATAGTCAGTACAGTTAGTGACATAGGGGGGTGGTAACATGTGTGAGATACTCTGTGAAACAGAAACACTTTGATTAAATGAGGTACAAGTCTAAAATGGTGGATTTAGTTGCTGGATTAAATTTTAATCTTTAAATAAGTTTACTTCTTTATTAAACATTTATGTTAAGATATATGCCAAATATTTTTTTTATCTAAACAAATAAAACATTTATCTACACATTACTGCATAACAAGACTACTGTTTTTTACTGAACTGTATATACATTCATTTAATTAACTTATTTTTATAATTAAATATACTGATAGTCTCCAACAAAAGACCTTTGGGCCACATCAGGCACTCAAAAGCCTGGATTTGTAGCTCACACTATAGGCACCAATTTTTAACTTTCCTGAGGGGCTCCAAGTTAGCGTTGCAACTTGACTCTTTAATTCTGAAACATATTGAGATATGATAAATTTTTTAAACTTGCCTCCAACTTTGAATTAATTAATACATAAATCAAGAAGTAAGCTATCACTAGGTTACTTTATTATAGATATTATACTTTTCTTCAGGAGCTAATCCCCACAATCCCTTCATTAAGAGAGGAAAACGTCCTGTGCCCCAAGTACTTAGCACTTGTGGCCAACACTATGATCAGATATTGCAAAGCTAAGCAAAATTGGAATTGAGTAATGATTTATTCCCGATTAGGATCAGGCACAGCCTTTAGTTTTATGGTCAGCCTGAAGTTTCCCAATGTGGAAACTAACTTGGGGCCACTGCTTTACTTACACACATAAATTAAATATGTATAGTGTAATAAAAAAATATTACCTTCTGTAACTATTTATACTTACTTAGATACACTAAAGTGAGTATGCTAATGTTACTTACTAAAGATATTAATATAATCAAAAACATCCTTCAGTTTCTGCAGTAAAATTACCAGAACTGTACTTGTTACATTAATTATCAATATTTTGCATTTTATTTGAATAAACATCTCCATATTTATATTTCCAATTCAAAGTACAACAAAAAATTTGCTAATGGAGAAAACTCAAGTGATTTGGGGTAATCTGATGGTGCCAATTTCAAAAATGTAGTCAGAATTTGCCCATTGCCTATAGATTGAGTTGTTGTATTATCCCAATATTTTATCAGACTATGTGAAATACCATGCAATTAACTCAGCTCAATAAATTTATGCTGTGAAATTAAGTTTACTTGGACAGTTTAATGTGTAAATGATGTACATTTTTGATAATTTCAAACATTGAGTGTACTGGTGTAAAATTTCAATTATACTGTTCATATATGCTATTTGTTCTCGATATAATTGCACCACTTTTGCTTCATTCCCATGCTCAACTGTTTAGCTGGGGAATCACAAAACTCTCACATGCTCAATTTGCTAGAACATTTGAGAAGTCCCTCAACTGAAGATAACAGGGGTGGATTAAGTAGCCTCTCTCTCATTTGCCTCTCACTCACTCAGTTGGTCACTTCACATCAGTCCAGTCAAAACAAAGTCTGCAATATAATCAAATTCTGCAAAACTTGGCTTTTTTTTATATTTTAAACTCTAGTTCTGTAAACATAAATTCTTTTATATTTTTTGGAAAATGATTTGAAATGCCGACTGCTTCCAGTTCAAGTAAAATCTGAAAGTTCAAAAATCACCCTAACAGTTTCTGCTACATTTGTGGAAAATATATTACAGTTTCATGAAGGAAAAACATCACAAATAAAATAAAGGTAGCTTACTACCACTATTTTTGGTGTAAAATTGATGACCAAAAAAAAAACATTGGGCTCTACATTTGTGTTGTACTGTTTGCACATCTGGCTTGACACAGTGGCTGAATAAAAAGAGCAAGTATGCTATTTGTATTTCCCATGATATGGTGTGAGCCAAAAGATAATCTAACTAACTGTGCATGACAAATGCTTCTAGATATTCAGGTAAAACTAAACACTACATTAAATATCCAGATATTGCACCTGCAATGAAACCAGTACCTCATGGGGATATATCTTCCAGTCCCACATTCACCAGTGAATGGGAAGCAGAAGAGTTATCATGCAAAGAAGACAAGGAATCATATTCATTTTCTTCATTTATTAATTCTACTCCTGTAGTACCTCAACTTAAACTGTCTCACAAGAAGAGCTAGATTATCTGATTCATGACTTGTCTCTATCAAAACAGAATGGGGAACTTCTTGGCTCTCTTTTACAGCAATGGTATTTATTAGCTTCAGGAACAAGAGTTTTGATTTACCAAAGTCATCGTCAAAGTCTTGCTTCTCACTACAGCATGTAAGATATTTTATGTTTCTGTACAAATGTTGGTGCACTAATGGAAAAACTAGGTACTGAACATCATCCTCAATAATGGTGAATTTTTATTGACCCATCTAAAGTTAGTATGAAAGCTGTATTATTGCACAATTTGAAAACTAAGCCATCAATTTCTGATGCTCATGCTGTGAACATGATAGACGTTTTTCAAAGCATGCAGACTATACATTCTTAAATGCAACTTTCAATGAACAAATAAAGTTATTAAAGAAAAGTTATTTTTATGATATATAAGAATATTTTGAATAAGTCAATCATAACTTGAAAATTAGAGGTGATCAGTAATTGTCAACATGATTTTTAAAATTAGCATAATCAAATTACTCAGAAACAGTTGCATTTTTTCTAGTAGCAGAGAACATCATTATATTTACTTTGATATGAATTAGCAGCAACATCATCACTGAAGTTTATTTACTTAGCTATAATTTAGCAGCAACAATATCATTGAAGTTTATTTACTTCGATATAATTTAGCAGCAACAATATCATTTAAGTTTATTTACTTAGATATAAATCAGCAGCAACAATATCATTGAAGTTTATTTACTTAGATATAATTTAGCAGCAACAATATCATTGAATTTTATTTACTTAGATATAAATTAGCAGCAACAATATCAAAAAAGTGTACTTTCTTTGTTGTAATCAAGCTCATATGATAGAATTAATTTTTTAATGTAGTATAGCAGCAACAATATTGTTAAGAGTGTATGTATTTGAATGTAGCTGGCTAGAGACACTAGCAGTAATGACCTATGTTGTTCAAAATGTAGTATAATGAACAAATACTGATGTTCATACACCTGTCTTACAGTGAATCAGCACTAAAAGCTGAGTTTCGATACCCCTTTCAATTGCTTTGTGGTTAACAACAAACAACTCGAACATCTAAAAAACTGTTAATACAAAAAAACAAACTTTAAATTACTTTCTCGCTTTATTTGTTTGAAGTTATGCACAAAGCTACACAATGGGCTATCTGTGCTCTGCCCACCACGGGTATCGAAACCTGGTTTCTAGCGTTGTAAGTCCACGGACATACCGCTGTGCCACTGGGGGGGCAGCTTTATTTGTTAGTGCAAGATTATTAAATTTCCGAGTTGTGTGCCATTATTACTCACCTCAGATACAGAAAAAGTATGTTCTTTCCCAACGTCGAAAGAGTACACGTCATTGTTAATATCAGGAACTGAAGCTGGGGAACTAAATGCAATAACTGCTTCATTCTTCAGAGGAAAACTAACATTTGGGTCCATATACAAGAAGAAAAACATTTGAATGGTATTGGAGTCAACTAGGAAGAAACGAAACTACTGATTACAAAGCATTAACTTTACAAACGAAAACAATCATTAATTCTTTCAATGAAATTAGCATATATATGTCATGTTTGAATATACTGGTAGTTGTTTCCACAGTAAGTCAAATTATTGTAGTAACATTGTTCTTTCACTGGTAGGTTATTTTTAAATTACCTCGTATAAATATTTCAGTGGCCAGTCCACCTAATTATGATACATTACTTTATTTCCTTCATTTATGTTTCTACATACTTAAAATTTTAAATACCTGACTATTTTCATAATTTTTCTGTGGGCCAACTTAGATTAAAAATGATGTTAACTAAAGTAAATATCATCAACTTACTTTTACAAAGTAACTGTGATAGCTAACACACTCACTGATTCAACTCTCAATTTTGAAAATCACTCAACACTTGAAAGCTATCTTGTATTTATAATCTAGCACCAATATACTAGACAAAAGAAAAAAAATTGACATTACATCCTTAGAACTTACTGGGAGTACTATGCCTTAATACTCAGTGTTTCTCAACTGGTGAACGGCAAAGCAATTTGAGTTGGATTTCAAAAATGCTTGAGGTTAGATAATATTGTTATAAATGTTGCAAAAGAGTAAAAGTATAATGCAAACTAAATGATACCTTATAAAATGCTACCTATAAATTAACAAACATTTTAATAAATGGTCAGAGAACTTGCACTGAATGTATTGTTAAAATTACAGCATATTTTATATAGATAATGGTAGGGTGGAAGATGCATATCAGTTGACTTACTGTGAAAGCAACATGACTGGAAACATTGCCTGCAGTGTGCTCTACATTATGCATCATGTGTCACCCATTTTCAAGACCATTAACCCAACACAGCAACTATGAAACAACATTGCCATATGTATCACACTTCTAAAATTTTCTGAGATTGGCTGCAGAAAGTTTCTTGAAATTTGGGTTGGATGTGTAGTTTAAAAAAAATTGAGAATAACTGTCAACTAACAAATTACATCATCACATCTACAGCTTACAACAATGCCCCTTTTTAATTTTATTGTGAAGTCTCTGGAAAATCCAACCATCTTAGATTATTATTTTACACACATTTTATACCTTGTTCTTACTAAAATTTCAAAACAAAACAAATACACTTAAATGGCAATTATTACATTTCCCATGTGGGAAATGATTTTTTGATTGTCAGCATTCATTTAGCTGCAATCTTAAAATGGAAAGTAATGTAGGAGTTAAAATCATAAATAATATTCAACCTTAAACTGGTACACAATTAAAAACATTTTATTTAGGCTTATCTATGGCCTTCAAAACGTTGACGACTCTACATGTTGAAGGCCATATATAGGCTCAAATAAAATGTTTTTAATTGTGTACCAGTTTAAGGTTGAATATTATTTATGATTTTAACTCCTACATTACTTTCCAT